TTCTGAAAAACAGGAAGCCAGACAACAAAAATATGTCCCCCAAAATCTACCTGTTCTTTTCTGTATATTCAGGAATCTTCCCCAACACCCCACCCGAGTCATGGGCTGTTCTGTAGTATTTATGCAGTTGTAATAAGAGGTGTTTACTCTTACATAAATTTCTCTTTGACTGGCTAAGAAGAAATTAAGGACTATGTCATTATCCATGACAACTCTGCCTAATAAATTTACATTTAAATCTAGGCTTTTTCACAGATAAAGCTGGACACCAGATAAAGTGAGACAGATTTAATCAGTAATATACTATTGCAACAGAGAAAAGAGTCCAACAAGAACTGAACTCAGTTTTGATTTTTATAGAGATAACTGAATGTTTTCAAAGGAGAATGAATAAATAGAGGCAGTGCTCAGTAGGTCAGGGAATTGAAAAATTATAAAAAGTTGTAAGGGAAGTTTGGTCCATTTCAAATGCATCTAGGTTTGCTAACTGGTGTTGTGCATGTTAGATTCCTACCTTCCCATCGATGCTGGGAGGCAGGGGTCAATCTTCAGCTGTTAGCTGGGTCACACAGTAAATTCTTTTGACAGCCTTGAGTTTCTCAGGCTGTGTAAGAAGGGGAGGTTAGGGTCATCGTACAGACGCGGCCTTGAGCTTTATTAATGTTTTATTGGAGTCTTTATAGGCCAAGGAATCCTAGTTGAAAAGAGAGCTCAGAGGAGCTTGGCTGGAGTTTGATTAAGGAAAGAACCTTTGTCAACTCCCAGAGACGTTATATAATTTATGGCTTTTTCCAGGGTCAGAGATGAGTTTTGGATGATCCTTTCCAGTTGCGTTGTCTCAACTCTGGTAGTAGCTGACTGCACAGTCGGCACACCTGGGAGTCAGTTGTTAGTCCTGAGAGTTCTCTCACTTAGCAGTGCTTACCTTTTCCAGAGGTTTCTGTGATGATTCACTGAAGAGCTGATGGTTCAAAATTCTACAATTCTCTAACAATGATCCCGATTTCACAGGCTAAGTTAGTGTGTGACAGGTGGGTGTAAACCTGCTATCCTCATGAGAAGTATCCCAGTGAGGCCAAGACTATACTGGTATTGGGAGTTTAAGAATTATTATTTTTTTTTTATTTTATTTTTTTAAATCTTTATTGTTCAGATTATTACATTTGTTCCTCTTTTTTTTTCCCCCCATAACTCCCCTCCTCCCAGTTCCCGCCCCACCCTCCGCCCTCACTCCCCACCCATTGTCCTCATCCATAGGTGCACGATTTTTGTCCAGTCTCTTCCCGAATCTCCCACACCCCTTTCCCTCCCAGGAATAGTCAGTCCATTCCCTTTCTATGTCCCTGATTCTATTATAATCACCAGTTCATTCTGTTCATCAGATTATTTATTCACTTGATTCTTAGATTCACTTGTTGATAGATGCATATTTGTTGTTCATAATTTGTATCTTTACCTTTTTCTTCCTCTTCCTCTTCTTAAAGGATACCTTTCAGCATTTCATATAATCCTGGTTTGGTGGTGATGAACTCCTTTAGCTTTTCCTTATCTGTGAAGCTCTTTATCTGACCTTCAATTCTGAATGATAGCTTTGCTGGATAAAGTAATCTTGGTTGTAGGTTCTTGGTATTCATCACTTTGAATATTTCTTGCCACTCCCTTCTGGCCTGCAAAGTTTCTGTTGAGAAATCAGCTGACAGTCGTATGGGTATTCCCTTGTAGGTAACTGAGTTTCTTTCTCTTGCTGTTTTTAAGATTCTCTCTTTATCTTTTGCTCTTGGCATTTTAATTATGATGTGTCTTGGTGTGGTCCTCTTTAGATTCCTTTTGTTTGGGGTTCTCCGCACTTCTTGGACCTGTAAGTCCATTTCTTTCACCAGGTGGGGGAAGTTTTCTGTCATTATTTCTTCAAATAGGTTTTCAATATCTTGGTCTCTCTCATCTTCTGGCACCCCTATAATTCTGATGTTGGTACGCTTGAAGCTGTCCCAGAGGCTCCTTACACTATCCTCGCATTTTTGGATTCTTTTTTCATTTTGCTTTTCCGGTTGGGTGTTTTTTGCTTCCTCGCATTTCAAATCATTGACTTGATTCTTGTGCTCCTCTGGTCTGCTGTCGGGAGTCTGTATAATATTCGTTATTTCAGTCCGTGTATGCTTAATTTCTAGTTGGTTCCCCAATATAAGATCGAGGGTCTCATTAGTTTTCTTGTAGATCTCATTAAGTTTATCGGCGGCTTCTAAACAGTTCTTGAGAGACCTTAAAAGTGTGGTTCTGAACTCTATATCTTCCATTGACAATTTTGTCCTGTTTCTTTGTCTCTGCATTTTGTTATGCTTCCTTGGTGCACCCCCTAGTGGTCTTTGTTCGAAGTTTTATAGTTAAATCTTGATTGTTGTAGCTAATTCCAGGGAGGGTTTGACCTCCAGGCCAAGTGGCTATGAGAATCAGCTGTGTCAGCAGTGAGAGAACCTCTGTCCTCTAGGGAGGTGCTAATCTGGCGTTTGCCTGAGGCTATCTGGCAAATGCCTGTGTGCAGGGCTTGGGCGGGGCGGGTCGAACAGGATCAACAGGGTGGGCCGGAGAGAGCAGTTATGGCGGCTCTCAGTCCTGTCCCCAGGGGCTCTGCCTCTCTGAGTCCCAGCACCCGCTGTAAAGCTCGGAGAGAAAGCTGCACTCGCTCTGACCGAAGCCAGACAGTCCCGCTTCTCCCGTTTGAGTCTGGGTCCCTAGAGACTCGCCTGTATCTGGAGCTCAGAGTCTGCGACTCCCTCCCGATTGAAAACGCCAACCGCGCCCTCCGCCGCCAGCCCGCTCCGCGCACTCCGCACCTCAGAATTTGACTTCAGCACTGCGCCTCCTCTGAGTGTCCCTATGCGTTTCTCTTTCCTCCTAGTTGTAGGACTTCCACTCAGCCAGCGTTCCTGTGGTTCTGGGTGATGTCCCTTCCGTTTTTTGGTTTCACTTTTGGAGTAGTTGTTCAAAGCAGCAAACTCCGGCGTTAACCTATGCCGCCATCTTGGTTCTCCGAACAATGCTGAATCGGAGTTTAAGAATTATTTATCACAACAGAAATGAGTCTTTATTCACAGGTTCCTTTAGTAAAGTCAAACTTGTCCTGCTAAGCAGTCTGGAATGCCTTTGAAGAAAATGAAGAAACTGTTTTTATCCAGGATAGGCCTAGCCTTTGTTCCCACTCCTAAAGTGTTGGGTTTTAATGATAGGGTGGTAAAAACCTCAGCACAGGCATTTTGTTGAGGTGGGTTAATGCACAATTTTGAAAAGATTCAGATTGGGCCATCTGAGGGGAGGTCTCAACACAAGAAAGATGGTGCCTGCCTGTTGGATGTGTAGGAGGAAGGTTTAACACAAGGACAATGGCAGCTGTCCTCCCTACCTTGCCCTGAAGCCATACCATTTAGTCCCTCCACTACATCTCTGGCACTCCCCAAGCCACTGTCCCTCCGCCAGAGCCTAGGGTAAGTGCCTGCAAGTGAGTGAGTCTGTTTGCAGGCCCTAAGGGATGCCTGGGTTCCAAACAACCTTCGGTCTCAACGGGCCAGACAGAATCCCCACTGATTTTCACAGCCAGTTGTTGTGGGGACTCCTCTTTCTGGCCCTGGTACTGCAGGCCCTACTTCATCATGGAGTAAAAAAACTGTTTTGTAGCCGAAACCGGTTTGGCTCAGTGGATAGAGCGTCAGCCTGCGGACTGAAAGGTCCCAGGTTCGATTCCGGTCAAGGGCATGTACCTGGGTTGCGGGCACATCCCCAGTAGGAGATGTGCAGGAGGCAGCTGATCGATGTTTCTCACTCATCGATGTTTCTAACTCTCTATCTCTCTCCCTTCCTCTCTGTAAAAAATCAATAAAATATATTTTTTTAAAAAAAACTGTTTTGTATATTGCTAAAATCTATTTGATAAGATTTTTACATCTCTTTTCATAAAGATTATTGATCTGTAGTCTTGTGTAGGTTTTTTCATAAAATAAATTGGGGTAGTATCCTCCTCTTCTATTTTCTGGGTGATATTGTATAGAATTGGTGTTAATTCTTATTTAAATGTTTGGTAGAATACTTCAGTGAAACTATCTAGTATTGGCAATTTATTTTGAGAATTTTTAATTAAGAATTTAATGTTCTTAATAGTCAAATTACCTATTGCATATTGGGTGCATTGGGATAATTTGGATTATTTGAGTAATTAATCTATTTAACTGAAGTTGTCAAGGTTATGTTTGTGAGGTGGTCATAGTATTTCCTTATTACCTTTTTGATGTCTCCAGTGCCTATAATGATGTCCCCTGTTTTATTCCTGATAACAGTAACTTGTGTTGGCTCTATTTTTCTTTTGCTCATCTTGCTATAGGTTTGTCAATTATATTGATCTTTTCCAAGAACCAGTCCTATTGCATTTACCCGTATTTTTGCTTATTGTGTTCTTTCTTCTTTTATGATATTCCATGACTCCCTTTTTTATTGATTCCTTTCTGTTTGGGAAATTCTTTTCTTCATTCTTTAAAGTAAGCCTGCTGGCAACAAATTCTCTTAGCTTTCTATCACCTGAGAATGTCTTGATTTTGCCTTCACACTTGAAGGATGTTTTTGCTGAATATAGAACTCTAGGTTGGTAGAGCCTTCCTTCCAGCACTTGAAAAATGTTGTGCCACTTCCTTATGTCTTCCATTGATGGTAATCAGAAATCTGCTGTTCAGTAGATTTAGGCCACAGTGTTGCAGGACATTCACGTCAACATGGACACTAGGCCAAAAGTCTCTCAAGTTTGAGGCTTCAGCTCCAATCAAATAAATTAATGTATATTCTGTATCCTAGAATTTTATCATGAAATATAATGGAGCATATAGTAAATATTAGCTAATATGTTTTTGATTTATGTTTCAAAGAAAAACTAGTATTTCTCTACACTTCATAAAACCTGGAAATATGTAAGCAGTGAGCAGGAAGTAACTTTTATGTCTTTTTTTTTTTTTTTAATCCAGCATGGAGAGAAAACTTATGTCTTTGCCTCTATCCACTTCCATATCAGAAATGGAACCCAATGACACCTTCAGCAATAACAACAGCCACAAGGACTGCCTGATTGGAAAATTCAAGAGGGATTTTTATCCTGTTGTGTACCTGATAATATTTGTCTGGGGAGCCTTGGGAAATAGCTTTTCCATATATGTTTTTCTGCAGCCTTATAAGAAGTCCACGTCTGTGAATATTTTCATGCTGAACCTGGCCATTTCTGATCTCTTGTTCATAGCCACACTGCCCTTCAGGGTTGACTATTACCTCAGAGGCTCCGATTGGATATTTGGGGACCTGGCCTGCAGGATTATGTCTTACTCCCTGTATGTCAACATGTACAGCAGCATTTATTTCCTGACCGTGCTGAGTGTTATGCGCTACCTGGCAACTGTTCACCCCTTCCGGCTCCTCCATGTCACTAGCATCAGAAGTGCCTGGGTTCTATGTGGGATCATATGGACCCTCATCATGGCTTCTTCAACAGTGCTTCTGAAGAATGGCTCCGAGCAGAAGAGTAATGTCACATCATGCTTAGAGCTGAGTTTCAATAAAATTGTTAAACTGCAGATCATGAACTACATCGCCTTAGTGGTGGGCTTCCTGCTGCCATTCTGCACGCTCAGCATCTGTTACCTGCTGATTATTCGAGCCCTGTTAAAGGTGGAGGTCCCAAAATCAGGGCTGCGGGTTTCTCACAGGAAGGCGCTTGTCACCATCGTCATTGCCTTGATCATCTTCCTCCTGTGTTTCCTGCCTTATCATGTACTGAGAACCTTCCACTTGGTTGTGTGGAAAGTGGGTACATGCACAGACTGGCTGCAAAAAGCTGTGATCATCACACTGGCCTTGGCAGCTGCTAATAGCTGCCTCAACCCTTTGCTTTATTATTTCGCTGGGGAGAATTTTAAGGACAGACTAAGGTTTGCATTCAGAAAAGGGCATGCACAGAGAACGAAGTGCAGCTTTCTTGTTGCCTGTGGTTGAAAAAGGAAATAAGAATGTAAGAGATTATTAAGTGAGGTTTGTTCTTATATTTCTCTATCCACTTTTATTAAAACGTAGTTTCCAAGTGACCATGTATTTACATCATTCCCAACAAAGGCTATTTCCCAACACTTACTTCACCATGACTTTTGCTAGTAAGACCTACTTCAAAAATTTCATTAGGTGCATTTTCAGTGGTTGAGGCACATGAGGAACATAGTAGGGACACTCTTTACTAGAGTTTTGCAATCTGAAGTGTCAGACAGAGACAAAATGCCAAGTACAGTGGGTGCTACTTTTCATCAGATTCTGTACTAGATGGCCCATCAAGTATTCTAAATTCTTAACTTTAAGATAACCCCAACTTATCCAGCTCCTTCATTTCCTCTTCCTTAGTCAATCCCCCCTGAGATATAGCCAATTAACGAAGTTGCTGGAGGTCCAGAGCAGATTAAAAAAAAAAGTATCCTAAGAATTTAGGGAAAAGACCTTGATTGTGAAGAGAAAGACTATCCTCCACAAAGCCAGAGTCAAGGTCCCAATGAGCAGTGAGAGAAAAATGGGGAAGAAGGACAAGGGCACGAGAGAACTGGTGAGAAGGATGGGAAGGAGGAACCTCTCTTTGCACTGGGAGAGGGACTCTAGCACACTGAAGGCAGGAAGGTTCTTCTCTCTTGTGCCAGGAGTGATAAGAAAGAGAGAGAAAATAAGAGAAAGACAGAGGGCATTGCGTAGAATGAGGGAGAAGGGGGACCAGTTTTACTTTTGAGATTTGGGCTCTGACTGACTTCACTGAAGTTTTCAGTCTTGCATGTTAATCCATTGGGTTGGGGGTCAAAATGGAGGAGATGGCTTTAAAGGTTTGGTTGGGCGCTCAGAGAGGGCGGCGTGGAGGACAAGTTGCAAAGGTTGTGATACCCTGAAATTTTATTAAAACTTTGGCAGAACATAAGTAGGGTGGCTTTCCTTTTGAGATTGTAGAAAAGCTGAGGATTACAACTACTACCATCATGACCACTGTATGTCCAAAGGAGTGCCCTCTTTATGCTGGGCAGACTGTGACAGGCACTTCACACTCATTGATCCCATTTAATGCTCACACCAAAGCCCTGTGTTTCCATTTTACAGATGAAGAAACTGAAGTTTAGAGAAATTGAGAGACTTGTTCAAGTTCACACAGATCATAAGAGTAAAAAACCTCTCTGACTGGTTGGCTGGGTGCTTGCTTCCTCCACTGTTCCTCCTGAAAACCTCTAGGAAGATTAGTTGAGAATCAGAATAACAGTTCTCTTCTCCAAGCAGGCATCTATCCTTCCTCACTCTTATGAGAAGACTGAAGATGGAGGTTTTCTCTTCTGATTTGCTGACTTTGGGCACAGTGGAGGGTAGGAGGGAGGTGGTGTTCTACAGCTTGGGAGGAAATGCATCAAAGCCTTCATGGTAAACAAGAGCCCCAGAACCCTTCCCTTACTCAGCAGCCAGAATAGTGACAGACTTGTAGCCTGTCAAGACAGGAGCCTGGAGGATCCTCCCATGAAAAAACTGTCCATCCCAAGAAAAAAGATCAACATACACAGACTGTTGGGGATTCCCCAACCCAAAAGCCAGGGCTTGCCCTATTGTCGAGTATCTATTAACATGTTAGTCTCACTCTTAATTATGAATAGTCAATGACCACTACACATTGGAGAAAAAGGGTCAGACTTGGAAAACACCAACAAATAAATGAGAAGATAGACAGAGACATTTTAAGTATGAGAGGTCTCAAATTTGTTATCACCTTTGTACTTTTGATCAGAAATCTACTGGAGGATGTGCTCTTCCAAAATAGCAGGTTAAACTAGGATAGAGGAAAACATAACAGTGTAGGAAACAAGAAATCCAACACAGGAGAAAGGTGGAAAGAATTCCCAGCATGTTGGTATGTAGCAAAAAACCACACACAAGAAACAAATTGATTTGTAAACATTGGAGCGATTTATATTTTTTTTAGAGAGCCTAGGATGAACTAGTGAAGATAAACAGAAAAATAGCAAGTGAAAAGACAATGCAATTATTAAATACTAGGGAAAACCTGTTTTTTTTTTTAAAGAAAGGAAATAATATACTGCATGGTTTAGCTGTGAATAATATTTATATACAGAATAATATAAATAACAAAATATTATGACAAACTTTTTTTTAGGAATGAGGGGGAGAGGATTTTGTATGTGGGAGAGGAGGGGTTAGCAAACTAAATCCCCATCTCATATGACAGAGAATATATAACTAAAGCTAGAAACTAATAAATAACTGTATAAAAATTTATTTAGCAATAGGAGCTGAAGTCCAGAAGAAACAGTGAAAAGAACTGACAGAGATTACCCCTGGAGAGAAGTTGCAGGTGAGAAGATAGGGCCGAAACTTCTCTTCTCCTTTTAAGAACTATTTAACTGTGTAACTTGCAAATATGTATTGCTGAAATAAAATAAAAATTAAGTTAGAATTAAATTTTCAAATTAGTTATTTGTGTTGTCTTTTTTTTTTTAAATGAGGAAGAAATAAAGAAATCCCCCCAGATATGGAAATTGAATACTGACAGGAGAAAGAAAAGCAGAAAGGGACTAGACTTGGATTTGGAACCCTGAGGGATGCCCACCCACCTCTGCCATGGGAGGGGTGTCACTTCCTGGGGCCAGATGAGATTTGAAAGATCTGGATATTTTTTAGTTGCAAGTAACAGAAAACACAACTCCAAGTGGCTTAAATAATCATTATCTCACATAACTGAAACATAACAAAAAGAAGTTGGCTCTATTCAGTCAGGGTTCTGTGAGCCTCCCTCTCCAGGTGTTGGCTTGGTTCCATGGCCAAGGCCCATCAAGAAAAAAGCTGATTGCAAGCAGCTTGGGGCTACATACTTCTTTACTTGTATCCAGGAGAAGAATCAGACCCTCTCCTGCCCAACTCAACTAGCAAAAGTCACAAGCTTCCTTTTGGTAAGACCTACTCAGATCACACACTCAGCTTCTAAACAAAATCAGGAAAGAAAGGATTGCTCTGAGTGAGGATGATATGAGTCTACAATTAGAGTTGAGGTTTGGGTTAAACCATTGAACACTCACTGGAAAAGAAGTAAATGAGGCTTGCAGAAGCCACATATCCTGCCCTTCAATGAGTTGGAAAGAGAACGGCTGGGCATGGCCTGTACCTAAGCAGCAGGCCCTGCAGCCAAGGAAGGTGGAAAGATGCTGCACTTGAAGAAGTTATAGGGGATTTTCAAATGACAACTAGAAATCTCAACAACTCAACAACTAAGTATAAGATAGTCCATATAAAACTGGAAATAACTGAGAGCAACCAAGGCCCTTGGCATGAGCAGTAATGCAGGGGTTGTGATTTATTAGTGTCCTTAAGTCTGTAGTGTGTGTGTGTATGTGTATGTGTGTGTGTGTGTGTGTGTGTGTGTGTGTGTGTGTGTGTGTGAGAGAGAGAGAGAGAGAGAGAGAGAGAGAGAGAGAAAGAGAGAGAGAGAGAGAGCACTTAATGACTTATTATTCCTTTTTTCAAGACATTTTCTAGCCAGGGGGAAGCATCTCATTTTCTCAACAATGTTGTCCTTGAGGAAGAAAACAAAATGGGACTCTTTATTTACCAAAGTGAAAACCGTCCAGGGTTTCAGACACCATTTGTTTTTGTTTGAGAGGTTAGGTACCCCCAAGCAAGTACATAAATTGTTCAACTGAGAGAAAGGATTTTTGTTGTGTAAACTTTAGTATAACTGTGTTACTGAAACTGTGCTTTATATGACCAATTCTCTATTTTAAATTTAACTGAGCTGATTTGCAATTTATTCTGAAGTAGAAATAATGGCAAACTGGCCCAAAACAGGTTCGGAGGGAGAGATAGGCAAGGCGGTGGCTTTCCATAGAGAACTCATTTTTATTCTTGGGAAAGGACTTGAAAGTAGAGACTCTATCAGGGGAGAATGGGGTGAAAGCAGGGGTAATCCAGGGAATATGCCAATGGAAATTCTTCCTCTGAGGACATTTCATCCCCAAGTAGATAGAGGCAGCTAGTTGAGCCTAATAAAAGTCAAAAGGAGAAATATAACAAGAAAGGGCTTGTTAAAAAGTTAACATGTATTTCAAAGCTCTAATAAATAAAAAGACTAAGGCACTGGCACACAAATCCACAGAGAGATAAAAGAAACACAGCTTGGAGTGGGCTCTCTGTGAACCACCATGGCAGAGCAAACAGTGTGAGCCAGGCTAATGAAGACTCAGATATGGCTGCCAGTCAGCCCTGGGACAGGGAGAAGGTACCAGCACAGGAACCCTTGTGAGAACCCCTGTCTGGGAGAAAACCACCCCTGAGTTCCTCCTCTGATGCCAGACAATCCAGTTCCTCCCCATATGTATCTGGGACTCCCAAAGCTGCCTGGCGCTGGAGCTTAGAGGGAACAAGTCCAAGTAAGTTTGTGTATCGACCCTTTAAGGGGAACACCTGGGTCTCCAGCAGCCTCTGTGTCCCTCAGCCACGATCTCCACTGGTTTTTACAGCCTGAAGTTGAAGTTATGGGGACTTTTCTTCCCAGTTCTGGAACCCTGGGTGGGGGCTTGATGTGGGGCTGGGACCCCTTGCTCTTCACGGGTGGCCTACACAGGGACAATCTCCCTCTTGATTTAAAAAAACAGCACACGTGGTTGTCGGACCAACCTGTTTCCCACCTCCGCCCCTCCTACCAGTCTCAATGTGCTTTCTTCTTTACTTCTTTAGTTTAGGACTTCCATTCAGCCATATTTCAGGTGATTCTGAGTGATGGTGGTTCTGTATTTTAGTTGTAATTTTGATGTGGTTATGGGAAGCAGCAAGTACGGGCGTTTACCTATGCTGCCATCTTGGTTCCTATCACCTGTATTTTTTAAAAGCTTCACTGGTGATCCTGATGGAATATATTTTTATATTCTCTTTTCAGAACCTGGCAGATCTCCAACTATCCTCTTTGGAAGAAGTCAAGTCATTTTTTATAAACAGTTCTCCATTTCAAATTTAAATGTACCCCAAAATAGCCCCTAGCTATCTAAGTTCTGTTTCAAGGGAAAATATAAACAGAAAAAGAAATATGCTTATAGGGAAAGAATATTTAAATAAAGAGTTTAAATAGTGTCAGGTCTTATTCAGCTATGTGACCTTAGGCAAAGGATTTAGCTCTTTTTGCCTTAGTTTTCTTATTTGTAACATGGGAATGACAATACAAGCCTAACCTTGCAAGATGAAGACAATATAAAATATGAAAACACATGTCAAATCCTTTAGAAATCCATAAACCCTACAGAAATGCAAGCGATTATATACTACTAGATATTTCATATAAATAGAGTCTTATTACTCAAATTATATTTTAAATGCCTTTATGGAGTCTGCCATGCAAGTAAAATAATCGATAAATTTAATTAAAACAAATAATTATTTGTGATGAGTCAGCCCCTAATTTGTTTTTGTGTGTGTGTGTTTTGCATGTGAATTTGGTTATTTTGAATGTTCTGAAAATAGATCACAGTCATGTTTCAACTGAAAAGGTTGCAATGATTGTAGCATAAGGCAGCACTGGGCAGAAGGGAGCCTGCCCCTCAAGGGAAAAGACAACATCCTAGAGCTCTTCCAAGTGGACACAGGGGTCCCTGGGACCAAATGACTTTAATCCTCTTTGTTTAAGAAGTGGCATCATGAAAGCCAAATTTTTTATGATTCAAAGTAACTGTGGATCTCCTTAACCTCCTCTCAAATGCAGACATCTACAAACATCTTCTTACATAATGTATTTAGTAACTATGAAAATATATGAAAAAAGCCATAATCACAAAATAGCTAAAGGAGCTCATCACCATCAAACCAATATTACAAGAAATCCTAAAGGGACTTCTTTGAGGAAAAGGAGGGGGGAAAAAAGAACATAAATACAACTAATAAAATGGCATTAACTATGCACCTATCAATAATCACTTTAAATGTAAATGGATTAAATGTTCCAATCAAAAGACATAGGGTAGCTAAATGGATAAGAAAACAAGACCCATATATATGCTTCTACAAGAGATCCACTTTAGATCTAAAGACACTCAGAGATTGAAAGTAGAGGGATGGAAAAAGATATTTTTTTATAAGTAGAAACAAACAAAAGAAGCTTGGGTAGTAATACGTATATCAGAAAAGACAGACTTCAAGACAAAGGCTATACTAAGAGACAAAGAAGAACATTTCATAATGATAAAGGGATAAATCGAACAAGAGGATATAATCCTTGTAAACATTTATGTGCCCAACATAGGAACACCTAAATCTATAAAGCAAATATTTATGGACATAAAAAGAGAAATCAACAGTAAAGCAGTCATAGTAGGGAACTTTAGCACCCCATTGTTATCCACGGATATATCTTCCAGACAGAAAATCAGTACAGAAATAGTAGCCTTAAATGACACAATTAGACCAGATGGATTTATATTTTTAGAGCATTTTACTCCAAAACAGCAGAATATACATTCTTTTCAAGTGCACATGGAACCAGCATTATTTATAACTAGAGGCCCAGTGCACAAATTCATGCACGGGTGGGGTCCGGCCAGCCCGGCCCCATTTGGTGGTTTGGGACTGGGCCTGTCAGGAGGAAGAGATGGTGGGAGGTTGGCCTGTCAGCCTGCCCCAATCAGGGGCCAATCAGGGCCAGGCTGGCTGGGGTAAGGGGCCGAGGGTGGTTGACTGGTGGGTCCTGCCCCTGATTGGCGTGGGGGGGGTGATTGGGGGTGGTGCCAGCTATGGGGAGGGGCTGTGGGCAGTGGGCTAGCCAGCCCCTCCCCCAAATAGAGCCAGGGGAGAGGCCATGGGAGGTTGGTTGGCCAGCCCCACCCTGATTGGTGTGTGCGTGGGGGTCCAATAGGGGATATAGCTGGTTGGGGGGAGGGGCTGTGGGCCAATTGGAGTGGTGGGGGCTGATTGGAGGTGGGGCCAGCAGTGGGGAGGGGCTGTGGGCAGTGGGCCAGCCAGCCCTGCAGCCCCACCCCTGAATTGGATAGGGAGGCCGATCAGGGGCCAGTGACCTGGGGGAGAGGCCATGGTGGTTGGCTGGAAGCCCTGCCCCTGATCAGATTGGGGGGGCCAATTGGGTCAGAGCTGGCTTGGGGGAGGGGCTGCAGGCCGATGGGGTGGTGGGGGCTGATCAGAGGTGGAGCTGGCTGTGGGGAAAGGCTTTGGGCAGTGGGCTGGCCGGCCCCATCCTCGAATGCAGTAGGGGGGCCCAATCAGGGGCCAGCAACCAGGGGAGAGGCCATGGGTGGTTGGCCAGTGGCCCTGCCTCTTATCAAATTGGGGGACCAATCGGGGATCAAACTGGCTGGGGGAGGGGCTACAGGCCTATCGGGGTGGTGGGGCTGGCCAGGGGGAAGGGCTGCGGGGGTGTTGGCCAGCCACCCCACCT